GCTTTTTTCAGTTTTGTGGTGACAGTCGTCCATACTTTTACCAAGAATCAATACGAAACTAACGATTTTAAATTGGCTCACCACTTGACTAGCCTATTGGTCCCAAGCAAACGATTAACGTATCCCATTCTAGTCGAAATTCTAGTACTACACAAGGTTTGTTTTGATTCGCTATGAAAGTTTGACAGATAAAATTAGGGGTTAGTGGATTTTCCTATGTTTCGAGGGGTGAATCGATTAGCTTGGGACCGAAGAGAGTACCAGAGCTGAGCCAAAAAGTTGAGCACGTTTCTTCGGTACCTTCTGGTCGTAGAGTTACCTCTATGAGCTAACTCTTCGAAAATTTCATCAACTTACCTCCAAATCCCGTAACTAGAGTATCCTTCCGATCCTTCCACTTCATAGCGTCACCACGGATGTCTCCATCTTATTATTCGTACCTTACAGAAGAGAAACAAGCGCACCAGTGGATGAAAATGTGGGAAAGTTCAAGAATCTGCTGCTGCTCATGCTAATTCTCACAGCAGCTTTCGTTTTGTTTGTTTGTTTCGCATGTCCAATTTGGCGGGAAACACAGGTCCAGTACTGTCAAAAACTTCGCAATTGAGAGATTTTTTGACAATTTTACAATTTTCATTCTAAAAAATAGACTCTTAAGGCCCAAGCGCAATGACGGCGGAAGCGAAACGGCAACGGCAGCGGAAAAGCCCGATCTGAGTAAGCCTACTTGTCGGATTGAAAACTAGTTAGATCCAAATCGACTTCGGTTAAGCATCTTGATGTCATTAGTGACAACTGTCAAACATTCCGTTTCTGTTCCGCTTCCGCCCACATTGCGTTTGGCCTTTAAAATTACAAGCCGAAAGTGAAAGGAACTCTTTTAAATCAAAAAAATAAGTTTACATTTGAAAAATTTCATGATTGAAACTACGAAATTTGGGAAACATTTAATTTGATCATGCATTATTTTTAAAGCAATATTTTTTTTTTGTTTGTAGACATCACCTACACTAGAGTTACCTCTATGGTATTATCATAGAGGTATCTCTAAGGCCAGAAGGTCCCGAAGAAACGTGCTCAACTGTTTGGCTCAGCTCTGGTACTCTCTTTGGTCCCAAACTAATCGATGCACCCCTCGAAACATAGGAAAATCCACGAACCCCTCATTTTATCTGTCAAACTTTCATCGCGAATCAAAAAAAAACATAGTGTAGTACTAGAATTTCGACTAGAATAGGTTGCTTGGGCCCAATAGGCTAGTCAAGTAGTGAGCCAATTTAAAATCGTTAGTTTTCACCTGTTAGTATTATACTTGTGGCCATGGACCCAAAGAGTAAGAACCTCCTTCACGCGATTTTTTTTTTTTGGTTCACCTAGCTGTTTTTTTAGTGTACCTGGTGCACCCGGTACTAGAGCAAAATACAGCAATTTGTACCAGAACAGGTGTCAAAAGTGACACAGACAGCACAACTGGCACAACTGCCAGCAAAAGCGCCAGCAAAAAAAAAGCGCGGTACCCGCTGCCGTGGCAGTCAGATTGAGGTGTGTCATATCCCTTAGCACGTTTCTTTTTGTTTCGCCATTTTGAAATTTGAACTCGTGACTTTGGCGTGAGAGGCATGGATGCTAACAAAAAAAAAGCGGAACTAGTTAAAATAGTTAATTATCTAATCTAATAGTTCATTAGCTCCAGGGCCCTTGAACATCATATATTTGGATTGTCCCCAGGAGGATTGTCCGCAGGAGGATTGTTCGAAGAACGATTGTACCCAGGAAGATTGTTCGAATAAGGATTTTCCGCAGGAAGATTGTTCAAAGGAGGATTGTCCACAGGAAGTTTGCTCGGGAGAAGGTTGTTCGAAGGATTGTTCGGAGGAGGATTGTCCGCAAGAAGATTGTTCGGGAGAAGATTGTACGAAGGAGAATTGTCCGCAGGAAGATTGTTCGGAGGAGGATTGTTCAAAGGAGGATTATCAGCAGGATTGTCCGCAGGAATATTGTCCGCTACCGACGAGTCGAGGAGAAAGATTATCCGGAGGAAGAGGATTGTCCGCGAGAGGATTGTTCGAAAGAGAATTGTTCGAAGAAGGATTGTCCGCAGGAGAATTGTCCGCAGGAAGATTGTCGACAGGAGGATTGTTTGGAGGAGGATTGTCCGTAGGAGGATTGTCCACAGGAAGATTTTTCGAAAGAGGGTTGTCCGCAGAAGGATTGTTCGAAAGAGGATTGTCCGCACGAAGATTATTTGGAGGAAGAGAATTGTCCGCACCCGCAGGAAGATTGATGAGAGGAAGATTGTCCATTGGACGATTGTCCGCAGGAAGATAGTTCCAGGAAAGATCTTCAGAGACAATCAATGACGTTCAAGGAAAACGTTGGGGAACGACAGTCATCCTGATGCATGTTGCTTCAAAAAAGATATGGCAACACTGTGACGGCATGCGAGCGGAATTGAAAGAATTTTCGGAATAGACAGAAGGGTCAGGATCAACAGGGATATTCAGGATATACTGAAAAATCTGGGGGTGCGACACATCTAAATCTGAATTTAAGATGGTCAGAAAATTTCATGCTAGCGAATCAATCTACGAAAAATCTTTTTTTATCTCTTGCATCTATTTCCATCTACTCGCATCGCCTTCACCTTTTGTAGGAAATCTTCAAAATCTTCATCAATCTTTTTTCTATCTACTAAGCGTGCGAGCATCTCACAACAGCAAAGCAAAATTTTTCCTGCATCTTAGATAGAGTCGCACCCCTCGTGAAAAATAGACAAAAAATCGAATAAGGATGTCTGGAGAAAAAAAGTTCTGACTGATGTTCTGGATATATAAGCAGAATTTTATGGATAAATTTGATGGGGATTCAGGATGCATCCGAATGTATCGTTCCCCCTGGAACATATAAAGAGCTTCAGAGTTCCGGATAATTTTCTTCCTCCACGTACTCCTTGACTCGTCGGTAGCAGACAATTCTCCTTCAAACAATCCTCATGCGGACAATCCTCCTTTGAACAATCTTCCCGCGGACAATCATCTGACTGGCGGGATCTGGTCCATTCGGTCCTCGCTACACCTGGGTCCGCCTTGCATGATTTCTAGTTGAACCCCCAACAATTAAGTGATAAAACTGATTCCATTTTGATCAACATCAACAATGACATTAATCCTAGCTCTGAAGTTCAGGTTAGGAAAAAAGTTAGGTTAAAACAAAACGTCAGCTATTGTTGGTAAACAAACCGACAGCATTATTGACAGCATTCCCCCATGCACTCAAAAATATAACTACCCACAAATCTAAAAAACCTACTACTGCGTGCACTTCCATTCTATTACCGAGAACCATGATTTTTCGATAAATTCCTTCCACGCTATTGGTCCTGACCTTTGGGTCCATGGTAAAAGTCTTTCTTATCGGCAGACATTCGTACACAGCAAAAAAAGTTGTTGAATATTACATCGAAACTGCTGCAACCAGGTCAATCCATCGGTTGTGTAATATCACATTGTACGATGTACATCGATTTTGCGAACAAAATTACATCCATTGATGTAATATTGTATCTGCTTTTTGCTATTACATCATTATTTCATACATCAGCTTGAATTACGTTGATCGATATTACATTTTTTTTTTTTTTTTGCTGTGTACTGTGCGTACGGTTCCCTTACTAGGCATGGGCTTGCGGCTTTGCTTGCCGGCGCAAGGCTGAGCAGTACACGTGTGTATTTATGCCGTCCTTTGGCTTGTGCTACCTCGGTCGTAAACATGGATTGACTTTCGTCACCATGTGCCATTTATTTGGGTGCAGTGCCAGCAGGACCTCTTCCGAGCAGCGGCTTGTCTTTGGTATCTTTTCTCTTTTGTCCTTTTATATAAATAATAATTTCCTACCGAAATACTTTCGCTTTCCCTTGCCACTCTCATAAGGTGAATGACCTGGCAGAGGAAGTCCTCCTCTCGATTAGGGAATTTATTATAACGATGTCGCGTTCGCAACAGTCACTTCGTTTGTGCATAAACGATCGAAAAATACTGGATAGCCCTAATAAAAATAACCATAAAAGAGTGTTAACTACGTGTTCGTTCGTGTTCATTTGTGGGATAGTTTATCCATCCGGGATTCAGTTCGTTTATGGTATTTGTTTATTAGGGAGGAAAGGTGCGTGAAAAAGGGATGGGGGTATTGAAAAATACACATTTTAACGTTACATAATATTAGAACGGGCCAAAACACAATCAATCTTCTTAAAATCTACTCATCGTACCTGCAGCTAAGCACAACAAAACAAAATCGTTTCTGCATCGAAGATAGAGTCGCCCCCTCGGCTTTAAGTCTATTCCCACCGTTTTCAGATATCTTGATAACAAATCGATTTTTCCCGATTTTTTAAACAAAAGCGCCCAATGCTGTCTTTGCTTATAAATCAGGGGAAACATGTCAGAAGGGTATATCTCGAAACGTAAACAATGACTTTGAACGTCGTATGAATAAAAGCGTTTACTTTACTTTCCCCGTAAGAAAAGCACGGGAAAGTAAAGTAAACTCTTTTTATTCATACGGCCCACTAGTTCATAGAAAAAACATTTTTCTGTCAGATGATTTAGGCTGTGAACCATTTGCCGAGTTAAAATTAACTCGTGGTTAAAAGTGACATTTCGAAAGTTATTTTCTATGTTCGAAAATCCCTGTGCTGTCGATCGAACGGTTTTCGAGAAGAACTCAGCCACAGTTGTCAAAATTTAACTTCTTGTCTGTCAGAAGTAACCACGCTCGAATAGCAGGGTTAATCGATAACTTTCCATCTGTCAAATTTTAACCAAAAGTTAAAATAATCCACCAAATGGTTCAGAGCCTTAGTAAGTTTGAGTGGGTGTGTTGTCATTCGTAAGAAACTGACGATCCAAGTCATTGTTTACGTTTGGAGTTAGACCCTTCTGACATGTTTCCCCTGCAATTTAACTTCAAAATCTGTCATCCCAGAGGTGCGTTTCGGACGATCTCCGTCTTTCATTTTCTGATTTTTTCCAAGCTTTTCGCTGGTCCGGAAGTCTGAATTTCTTCAATCCAAGAAACATCATGGGCGTCGTCGGGTTGGTGACTTTTCTCACGCGCATCGGCGGCTGCCGAGGAGTGAATGTCCTCGACGAGATACGGAATTCAGAGAAGTATAGTTTACGAATTGGTTACACCGGCACTAATTGAGAATATAAAAAAAATATGTCTGCCATAGGAAGGAACCGTTGATTGTGGTGGACCTGCTGACGCTGATCTGCTCGTTGAGTGGTCCGATCGATGAGCAGATCTACGGCTGCCGGAATCAGTTTGCCTGGACGTACGCCACGCAGTTCTGCGACCGGATGATCGAAGCCGGAGCCCGGTTGGTGTTCTTCATCGATGGGAAATTGCAGGAGGGTAAGTACAAGCACTGGATTCAGCGGCAGGAGAAGGTGTACGCGGAATGCTTGAAGAAGCTGGACAACATTCCAGTGGAGTTCCGGGGAAAGCACAGGGGTAACATTCAGGGAAATGTGGTGAAGCACGCATTCATTTCGGCCTTGGTGGCCGCTGCCCGGAAGAAGGGAGTGCTGATTACGACGTACGATGTGGAGTGCGACCGGGAGTTGGCTGCATTTGCCAAGAAACATGATGCGCTGGCTGTATTTACCGGGGATTCGGATTTTCTGATTTACGAAGGAAACTTTCGGGTGTGGTCCAGTTCGGATCTGGACTTGGAGATCATGCGGACGTACGAATGGAACAAGGAAGCGCTGCGCAAAGCGCTGAAACTAGAGTGGAGTCAAATGCCGTTCTTTGCGGCCGTGGCCGGCAATGACCACTTCAAGCATCGCCCGTCCGGAATTTGCACTTTTTACAATGTGGCGCAGAAGATTCGCGAGCTGAACGTGAAGCTGGGTTATACGAGAATTACGATCGAGCTGTACGAGAAGATTTTTCGCCGGAGGGATGAGAATTTCAGAAACAGCTTCGAAGATGCGGTGAGACTATATGATACGGTAGGATTGGTTTAAGGGAAAGGTATAAAATCGACAATATGATTGAGTGTTTCATGTTTCAGAACTACACCGTCCGGAAGCCGCTGGTACCGTCGGAGATGCGTCACTTTCCAAACTACGCCGTTTGCATAATCCGGAGCATTCCCAGCACCATTCGATTGCCCTGTTTGGACCTGCGTGAAGCGGAATATTCCCAGATTGCGCTGCAGATCTACCGTCGCCAGGTAGGAGCTCTTTACCGCCATCGACCGGTCGTTTTCGGGCAGACCCTGACCTCTCCGGTTTTCATCAAACCGAACCATTATACGAGCTACAAGATTATTGCCGTCACGCCGATAACGCCCCCGCTCGCAGTCAAAGTCCCTCTGCCGGAGGAACTGTATTCGCTCGATGCCCAAGTGTCGAAGAAGCTGGAGGAAACCAAATATCGGCTGCTCACATGGCTAGTGTCCGATACGCTTACCTACGAAGAAGTAAGCAATGTCAATCCTAACTATCTGCTGGATGTATTTACGCTGTACTTTTTGGTTGAGGTATTTTGCCTTTACTAGTACATCCAATTACGATCAGTTTATAAATTTACAATTTCCAGAAAAACCTTATGGACATTACCACGGCAGACATCATCCTGGTAGCGGTCGACGACTGCATCAAGAATCGCATCCCGCGGCAGATTCCGCTGCAGCGACCGCGCAAACCGAACGTGACAACTTGCTTCCTGTACGTCAACTTCTACTCGATGATGTACTTCAACGCGGAATTGGCAGGCCTCCGGCGGCAGCTGGAAAACCTGTTCCTGTGCAAGTTCGACGGGGTTTACTTCAACATGGTTGTCGATCTCCTGCGGTACGATGGGGCTATGTTGGCGACCAAGCTGGAAACGCTGCAGCCCTATCGGCTCTATGCCAAGTTTGCCGATCGAGTTCTGATCGGGGACGGCACCGGTATTGGATGTAGTAAGGTGAAGCTGGAGTCCTCGTGGGAGGAGGCGCAGCTTGATTACGGCGAACCGTCGAGCAAGAAGGGCAAGTACTATTATTGAATTGAACTGTTGAATTTCTTTGAACTCGTTGACAATTTTGATTTATTATTTTATTGAATTTCATAATGAAGAGGTATGTTTCTGCATAACATATAATCTTCTGTTCCAGCTAAATAAAAAGCAATGCGCGTTGAAGTAAAAATCATAGTACTGGTAAATCAAGCCTTGTCTTCAGAAGGAATTCCGGGAATGATTTTACTCGTGTGTTATCGTGTGGAAGGAAGGGGAGGGGGGGGGGGGTGCCAAAATAACCTCCTCGATGAATTTTAATAAATATATCGCAATTCTGGCAACTCTGGTTTAAACAAAAGAAATAAATAAAAATAAATAATCTCGCAGTACAGTACAGAAGTTAACAATCAAAACATCAAGTAAGATGAATGCAGTATCATAGAAAATAGCATTGCTAAATCCTATCATTTGTAGGTACGATACTTGAGTTTTACACGAAGAAAGGTTTGAAAAAAAAATCGCCAATGATTACTCGTAAAAAGCGGGCCTCCAATGTTGGACCAACTGTCTCCAGCAAAGGACGTAGGCTGCCGGAGCAAGAACCTGCGGTAGAGGAAACAATTAGAACAAGTAATACAATTTGTCGCGTCTGCTTGAGTTGTGACGATCCGGAACCGCCTGGTATTCACCTGTTCAAGCGAGTCGTCCAGGGAATAAAGCTATCGGAGGTGCTCGCACTGGTTGGAGCGGTGGAAATTGAGGAGGACGACGGTTTACCGGAGTTCTGTTGCACGAAATGTCTGGAAAGTGTGGAGCAGGCCTACAAGCTGCGGGTACTCTGTCAGGACTCGGATCGACAGCTGCGAACTAAGTATATCGACGTGGAACATGTGGCTGTAAAAGAGGAGGTGGGTGAAGGTGAGATGAATTCTCCTGAAGCAAAGGATGCTTCTGTGGAAGATGCGAATGTTTCAACTTTGGAGATAAAACACGAAACTCTGGAGGAAGAAGTTCTGGATAATGAACCCGTCATTTCCGATGTAGATGACCAGGAGCAAAATTATGAAAAGACAGCTAGAATGACATCCCAGAAGTCGAAACTTTCCGAAGTGTTTGATGAAATTCCTGCCATCGGCTTCAGTTGCTGTGGTTGCAAACATCCCTTTGATACACTTGAAGATTTGCACGAGCACGGTCGAGAGGTTCATTCGGTGAACAAGCTATCAGCGAACCAGTTGAATCGAAAGAAGCAGTGCGATGTTTGCTACCGACTTTTTACTGAGAATCGTTCCTTGATCAAACACAAGCATTCCAGTGGGACTAATGTACGGTGCAAAACATGTGGCGATATTTTCTCAAACCGAGCCCAAGTATACGCGCACTACCGACGGATGCACGGCCCGAATGCAACAGTTTCCGACTCGTCACGGCTTTGCTGTGGATGTAAGAAAAAGTTCGAATCTCTGGAAAAGCTCAAGGCACATTCAGAAGCTGTGCACTTTCCGGATAAGCTTCCACCTGATCCAGAGCGACCATTTGTCTGCGACATTTGCTATCGCAACTACACGACCGATGCCCGTCTATTCGCCCATCGAATTAGATTGATTAAACGCAGCAAGAAGCATCAGTGCGTACAATGTGGCAAGACTTTTACATTTCCCAGCCAGCTACAAGACCATGAACTGAATCACATCGGCGAAAAGATCTTCCGCTGTCCAGAATGCCCGGAGGCATACAGTAACAGGGAAAGTCTTCGCAAGCACGTCCAACGTCACCGGACACCCAAGGATAAGTTTCAGTGCAAAATTTGCAATCGATGCTTCAAGACAAACTACGTTCTGAAGGAACATCTAGTGTTGCACACGGGAGAACGGCCCCGGAAGTGTCCTTACTGTCCGGCGAGCTTCGCTAGGGAATCGTGTCTTACTCAACACGTGAAGTATTTCCATCAGAAACTGAAACCGTTTCCGTGCTTTTTCTGCCCGAAGCGGTACCCCAGGATGGGCTACCGCCGGAAGCATATGGAAAAGACCCATGCGGACGAACTGCGAGAGAATCCCATACCGATGGGTGAACTTTTTGGCAAGAGACAGAAAGGTTCTCAAGAGGAGCACTAATGTCTTAACATGTATGAAACGAAGTTTGCCGCACATGGTTAGTCTGCCTTTTGACATTGTGAGTAAAAATATTATAAGGCTATGCACTACATGGTTTATGCCTCCTCCAAGACTATCAAGACAGTCCAAAAGAAATGCAATAAATCACTCGCTTAAAGTGTTCTCTTAACTTCTCTTCAGAATTATTTTATCTATGAATTTCGAATCTCGAAGGCTCCTTAAGAATGCATAAAACACACTTTATTGGCTAGCTGTTTAAGTTTTTTCCCAGCCAAATCAGGGTGCATGGACATAAATGAAATAAAACGATTTGTTTGGGCGATGAATTGGACTTTACGTTTAATTTGGTTGTACATTATTGCGATTGTTTTCGCTGCCATTGTGAACTGCCAAAGAGTTCAATCTCCGGTACAGGATTGTCGCGTAGTTCGTTCGGATGGGCACTAACCATGTGCCTCTTGCGGTAGTCCTTCCGTGGGTAGCGCTTTGGGCAGAAAAAGCACGGGAACGGTTTTAGCTTATGGTGAACGAATTCAACGTGATTTTGGCACGCTGAGACCGTTCCGAATCGCTTCTCACACAAAGGACATTGAAAATTTCTTTCACCACTATGGGTCAGCAGGTGAATTTTGAAAGAAGATAGTCGCGCATAATTCGCCGGGCAAAGGGTACACTGATGGGGACGTTCTCCGGTGTGAAGGCGAACATGTTCTTGAAGGCCCCGAGGATTCCTGTAACAGCGGCCACAGATTTTGCACTTGAATTTGTCCGCTGGCATCACATGGCTTTGTATGTGCTTGCGGTAGCTTTCCTTATTGCTGTACGATGCCGGACAATGCGGACATTGGAACACCTTCTCCCCGGAGTGATAGATTTCATGATCTCGCAGTAAACTCGGATGCATGAAGGTTTTGCCACATTCGACGCACATGTGGTTCTTGCTGCGCTTGATCATTCTGGTTTGGTGAGCGTACAGGTCTGTATCGGATTTGTAGCTACGGTAGCAAATATTGCAAATAAATGGACGGCTGGAATCCGGTGGGGGCTTCTTCGGAAGATGTACCGCCTCGGAATGTTCTTTGAGCTGTTGTTCAGTTTCAAACTTTTCCAAACATGCGCAGCAAATCCGCGAAGGACCTGAAACCGTAGGATTCGGACCATGTATTCGCTTGAAATGGTCATAAGCTCGCCTCCGGCTCCAGAAAAGATCTCCACACGATTGACAGCGAAAATTTACCTTCCCCAAGCTCTTATGCTTTTCCAAGGTAGTCGGATGGGACAACACCTTATAACAGATATCGCACTGCATCTTTTGTAGCAACTGTAATGTCGATTGCTTTTTATCCGCATGAGCTACCTGGCTATGAGTGAGCAATTCTTCGAACGTATGGACAATTTTCTTGCATCCGCAGCATCTAAAACCAACGGCAGGAATCTCGTCGAAAACATCAGGATATTTAAACTTTTTAGACTCGCGTTTAATTTTTTCCTCCGGCTGTTCTTCCGGTTCCTTGTCTTCGAGCGCAGCACCATCATCCGCCATCTCATTCCAATCTGCTACATCCTCATCCGCTTCAATCTCAAGTTTCGGCTGAACAATATTCTCCGAGGGACCAGCCTCTTTCTCATCATCCAACAATCTATCCACATCCGGGTTACAAACAACTTCCAGTGGATTCATCTCATCAGTATGGAACTCTTCCTTCACCACCGCAACTTCCACATCGGAAAACAAATCTCGAAGTTTCCGATCCGAATCCTGGCAGACCATTCTCAGCTTGTAAGCTCGTTCTAGGTCCTTCAAGCATCGCGTACAGCACAGCTTCGGCAACTGATCGTCCTGGGAGATCTGCACTGCTCCGACGAGCGAAAGCACTTCGGACAGCTTCGTGTCCTGGACCGCTCGATCGAACAGATCAACCATCATCGGATTCGAATTCCACCGCATACACACCCGGCACATAGAGTCGATGCTATCCTCGATGAGTTTCTGCTTGCGTAAGCTACGTCCTCTGTTACTCGTAGTGGCCGTTGAGGAACGTTTCGAACGGGTTGACATTTTTTTACCTGTGAACAACAGGAAGAACGCAACGATAAGCATTAATTTTCCTTCATTTCTCACTGAAAATACCTACCTTTATTATGATTTTACCGAAGGAAAATTGCGTTTTACATTCAGTTTTTGATGAGAATGTTAACACGTTCTGATGAGGCATACGTATAATAAATAAATAATTTAATTAATTACAATTACAGGTTCTATACGAAAAATTTTTATTTTGTTTTTTTTTTTTTTTTTTTGCTGTTGTCTGATGACGGCTAAGACCATGGTTGGTCCCAGGGTTGGTCCATCTTGCCTTATTTTGTTTTCGTCTGCTGCAAACACAACAATACACGGACAGGGTTGCCAGAATTTAGTTCAAAAGAAAACACGCTATTTCAAAACTCCTCAAATTTGGGTAGAATCCACCCAGATCGGTCAAAACTGAACCTACCCAAATATGGGTAAACCAACAATCAATACGAAACTAACGATTTTAAATTGGCTGACTACTTGACTAGCCTATTGGTCCCAAGCAAACGATTAACGTACCCCATTCTAGTCGAAATTTTACTACTACACAATGTTTGTTTAGATTCGCTTTGAAAGTTTGACAGATAAAATGAGGGGTTAGTGGATTTTCTTATGTTTCGAGGGGTGAATCGATTAGCTTGAGACCGAAGATAGTACCTGAGCTGAGCCAAAAAGTTGAGCACGTTATTTCGGGAGCTTCTAGTCTTAGAGTTACCTCTATGGGTAAACTCCAAGAGAGAGGAGCCAGCTCAAATGACAGATGCTTTGTTTTGGTTGTCTTCTTCTTCTTCCTTTTTGTTGAAAAAATTGTTGATGGAAAGAATCATTCAAACGAGGATGCGCGTTTGTCACTCGGTTTGTTGATATAGTTTTGCCGTCGGAGTGTTCAAACTTGTCGTGAACTGTATGTTGTGAGCAAGTATCTTACTGCATATTGCTTAGAGCTATCGGGTTCGTATTAAACGGCTTTGATTTTGTGAATTCTGGTGATTAGGAGGAGGTTAAAAGTGATACACAGCAGATAAAATGCGTTGTCAAGTGAAGCGTTGCGGCCGGAACAAGAAAACCCACCCGGATGTGTTGTTTCACCGGTTTCCAAACGATCCATTGCTTCAAGCACGGTGGGTTGAGTTTTGTAATGTAGGAGCTGATTTTATTGTCACAGATGCAATGAGAGTACTGGGCAGAGCTCGTCAGAAGCCGTTTGTTTTTGTTACACGATCCATATTTTATTTTTTTATTTGTATGGAAGAAAGCATCAACCAGCATTTTGAAAATCACCTCCAGTTAACCAAGCATCAATTTTCTTCTCTTGAAAAGTCTTTAAAATCATTACCTTTTTTGAAATTCCTGGTTGCCACAGTTTAAAAACCAAAATTATCAAAGGTTTTTGAGATTCAAAGCAAACTCAAATCGTACGAAGAAATCGCGTAAGCGAAAATATGATAGTCGAAGTATGCTAAATTGATACAAAAACTTCAAATAAGAATCAAGAGATAACACAATAAATATGTCTTTATTTCACAAATTAACAATTATTTTAGTCAGAAATCTGAAATAGACCACCCACTCCTTTACAGTAGTCGCCAAATAGTCAATGTATTGTGCAAAAAAATGGCTATTTTTTAGGAGCTCGGAGTAGCAGCATTTCAATGGAAAATAAATCCTTTGCGTGAAAACTACTAATAACACCCTCTCCCTGCTTCACAATAAGTAACAGAAACGCCGAACGTCCAAAAACATTTGTATTTTGCACCGTCATTAACTGCCATTTCAAAAAAACTATCTGGAAAAAAAAACAATACGCAGATTTTTTCCGATTAACAATACTTCCCCCACTTTATTGAATCAAAATTTCGGTTCGCAGTGACAGATCATGACTGGTTCGCATTGACGTTTACGCGATCGGCTTCAGAGCTAGCTGGCGCCTCTCTCTTGGGGTAAACTGTGTTGGGATTGACAAGTAAACAAATGAACACTCACTATATCTAGAGTAACATTTGAAATGGGCCTATGTCCAAAACGTAAACAAATCGGGTTTTGATACCATTCTTTAGCACCGCTTGATAGCTACTAATCGTGTAAGAAAGTTCCGCATAATCGAGAAAAATCATTAAAAATAACTCGATTTTCGAAACGGCCGATCAACGAAATTTTTCGATTCATTTATAGGCCCGCACGCTAAAACGGCCAACCATTCATTTATCTCATTTCATTGTTAAGCCTAGTGACGTAGAAGGGCCGATGATTGAAAAATTTCAAACCAAAGCTAGGCCCTACTGCTTGAGGCAGGGCCGATGATTTGTTTTGAATTTATTTGACGTTGCGAAAAGGCTTAGCAAAGGGCCTACCATTTCTGATGACAAGCACAACGGCTTAACAAAAAGGGCCAATCCATTGAAAGATTCACAAAAAAGGCTTATTAATTTATGAAATTATATTGTTATCGATTTTCATATATTTTTGAAAGGTTTTCGCATATTTTGGATGTTGTATACTGAGATACAGTTACTATTGTTATTGTGAACAATATAAATGCCTAAAATACTTCAATTTTCTTAAATATGAATTGAATACAGGCGGCCAAAATTTAAAATTCATTTTCTGGTTTGTTTACGTTTTGGACATAGGCCCATTTCAAATGTTACTCTAGATATATTCAAATCTAAATTGATTAAAAGTTACGCTAAATTGCACTCTCCTGCACTCAAAAAATATTGAAATCTCAATAGTATAAAAGTTACGCTAAATCGCAACTCTCCGTACCGACGCAAAGGTCGGTATAAAGGGAGAGAATTCAAACTTAGTATAAAAATGGTTTATGCGTGCCATAGTATAAAATCGAAATATACTTACAATGCATAGATTCGGTTTATTCGAGAAAATGTATTGTTCGCTTCTTTTTTTTAATTTATGGTAAATATTATTGTTTTCAAATAAAAATAAAAGCTGTCTTCCCGCATAAACGCGAACCATAAATTGACCTTACCTAAAATGGTTAAAAAATGTTTATAATCCCTGCTGAACTTCAACTGAAATGGTTATGGAACTTTACATGAACGTTTAATGATAAAGTTTCAACCTTATGTATTATGGTTTTTTGGAACTGGACCTTACAAATAATGGGTTGTTAAGAACCATTGCCGTTCCAAATTCTTGTTTTCTCCATACATTTTCGGAAAGAGAACTATATTAGAACCTTTTAACTTATGGTTTGAGAACTTTAATGGTAATGGTTATGGTAGTCAGTAAGGTCCACGAATGGTTTTGTAACATCGATCAACTTTATGTGGAATATATCGCGAATTGGTTGCCTGTAATTTACTGATTACCAATTCACGATATATTCCACGTAAAGTTGAGCGATAATACAAAACCATTAATGGACCTTACTGACTACCATAACCATTACCATTAATGTTCTCAAATCATAAGTAAAAACGTTCTTATATAGTTCTCTTTCTGAAAATGTATGGAGAAAACAAGAATTTGGAATGGTAATGGTTCTTAACAACCCATTATTTGTAAGGTCCATTTCCAAAAAACCATAATACATAAGGTTGAAACTTTATCATTAAACGTTCATGTAAAGTTCCATAACCATTTCAGTTAAAGTTTAGCAGGGATTATAAACAATTTTTAACCATTTTAGGTAAGGTCAATTTATGGTTCGCGTTTATGTGGGTTAGGAAGTTCTTTTAATTAGTTTATTTTATTTTTATGAATAATATTTAAAAAAATACTTACAATTTCGATGCTGCCCAGCAGATCACATGCGCAGTAGAAATTCGCCGGGACAAAGTTCTTCACCAGCACGAAGCTCCGAAGGGAATCCAAATGTTCTTATTCCTGTCATTTTAGTAAACACTGATCGAATTCCACTCTGTTATTCGGACTTAGTATAATTTTGATGAAAATTTTAATCGAACCAATGTATAAATTTCGAAAAACCATAAAATGCTTAAAAATTAATCTATATTCGTTTTGTAATATTTTTGAGTGTGACCGACGCATAGCTATGTTATAAGATGGATCCAATAAACGGTACATGTCGATTTGTTTCAGTGTATAAAGAGAGAGAAAACACACTTAGGCTGTGAACCATTTGCCGAGTTAAATTTAACTCGTGGTTAAAAGTGACATTTCGAAAGTTATTTTCTATGTTCGAAAATCCCCGTGCTGTCGATCGACCGGCTTTCGAGCCACGGTTGTCAAAATTTAACTTCTTGTCTGTCAGAAATAACCATGCTCGGATAGCAGGGTTAATCGATAACTTTTCATCTGTCAAATTTTAACCAAAAGTTAAAATAATCCAGCAAATGGTTCAGAGCCTTAGGCCTCATCTCGTCCAACGGAACCGTCAAATAGTACATCGGAAACGTTATGGGGAACATCTGCAGAATGGGATTGCGCGGCAGTGAAAATTTTTCCAACCAGAAATTCTTTCAACTTACCGGGGAGTCTGCGCTCCCGTTCGCTGCGCCTCGGGGTTTCCATTTCGAGGTTTGAACCACGGTCTAGTTGCAAAGGGAGCGCTCCGGTTTCTTCAACACCGTCGTCTTCAACCTCGCCTTCTTCATCATCAGTCAGGATGTCGTCATGTTGAGCCACCAGCGGCTCATCGGGTTGAACGGACTGTTCAGGGGTTTGCACGTCTTCCTCATCTTGATCCTCGAACTCGTACGGAGCAACAACCAAAGGAGTTTCGTCACGGATCTGGGTGGCAAACGGAAAACTGTTTTCATCGAACTTGACATCTCTGGCTAGGAATAACTGCTTCTTCTCTTTGTTCCACAGGCGGTAGGCGTTCGGCGCATAGCCGATCACAGCAGGCTTGCTTTTCGGATCCAGTTTCTTCCTCTGTTCCGTGGACACCCAAGCAAATGCTTTACAGCCGAACACACGTAGTTTACTAACGTCCGGCTTGTGACCAGTCCACATTTCCGCAGAAGTCTTCCAATCAGATACCGCGGTGGTTGGACTTCTGTTCGTCAGGTATACCGCCGCTAGAACCGCTTCATTCCACAGATTCTTCGGAGTTTGGGCTTCAATCAGCATCGCACGCACCTTTTCGACGATTGTCCGATTGAACCGTTCGGACACTCCATTCTGCTGTGGTGTGTACGCTGCGGTTGGCTCGACTTGGATCCCCTTGGAAACGTACCAATCACGCTGGTCATTGGAG